GAGTTTTCCTTTTTATATAATCATTGGGTTGCAGTGATCTCACAAGGCTGAACCCTCACAAATTATTTCATTACCATCAATTAATCTCCACTAGCCTGAAAAAGGAGGGACAGCTGCTGAAGCAGTAGCCCTATATAACTTTATTTGGAAATTGGTCTCATTGAAGTCAATTGGACTAACTTCTAAGAAATGATGCATAGGGTTGCACTGCCTCGGGAGAAGTTCCAAACATTGCATCTACTGTCCACAGCTAAACTTTCCACCGTCTGTGCTCATTCCCTCCAAGCACCATGCCTGCCATCTAACAAATGAAAGGTGGTATCCATCAGCTTTTACATGGCTTGCCACCATCTGATGAGTGAATCAACACTCCTCACATCAATTCAGTAAAAGAGCCATTACCATCTCAAAGCACCCAGCAAGACAATAAAAATTCCAGACAGCATACAAGCATACATTGTGTGGATCACAATGCATGCTATGCCCTATTTCTGATATACAGAGCTGAAGAAAAAAGATATCATAAATGGGGTGGTACTACAGAATGAGCCTTCTAAGTTAAATGCGTTTGTTAGCAGGCTTTCCCAACCTGGCTGAGAATACTGGGAACTGCAGTGCCAACACATCTGGAGAACGCCAGGTTGGAGAAGGTCCTCACAGAGGATTATGGCTGGATAGCACAGGCAGACATAATTATTCCTGGCCCATCCTTTTGATCAGTGAGAATACCGCCTTGACAGATTACGAGGGAAAATAATCTTCTGATGGAATACTTTCTGATGTACTTCTCATCCCCTCTACACATAATCAGAGGCAAGTGAAATCCCAATATCCCAACACTGAGCTTCATCAAAGTACAGTCTGGGGAAGTGCAAAAAAAAAAAATATTAGTAAAATGTGTTATCAAAGATAGGTGATCTGGAGGAAGTACAACCAAAAATATCAATACTATCATGGTTTGCACAAATTGCAAATTTCTCAAAATGAAAGTTATTTTATCATATTTCATCTACCTTCCAGCCTTATTCAGAAGTTATTGATTCCATGTTACAAAAGTGAGTGACCAGTGCAGGGGAGAAGTATACTGTATACTTCCAGCCGGCTTGATCATATAGAGAAGATGAATGAAGATAGAATTGCAAACAAATCTAAGAAGAAAGAGTGAATCGGTTGAAAGGAAGAGGAAGACCAATAAAGTTGTGGTGGAATAGAGGTGAGGAGATCTCGATAAACAGAGATGAAAAGCTCAAAGAACAAATAGCAGTGTACGAAGGGGTGTGTGGATGTCATGGAAGCAAAGATGGTTGCAAAGAGAAAATGTTATAGACAGGTTGAACAGTACTGCTTAAACTAAATAGTTGCATACATTTTTTTTTTTTAATCTCCTGATTCTTTGACTTAATATATCTGGGCTCAGCCTAACATTGCTCACTCTGAAAGGGACTAGTGTGATAGTATGTAGGTACATTGACTGTATTTCATAGGAGTAGAAAATGGTGCTATGCCAACTATTCTTCCCCTTATGCTGCAGTGCAAGCATCTTGTACTACAAATCCCTTTCCTACGTAAAGTCTCAGTTAAGCAGAGCATGGGCATACCCGTGTAGTTTTCTTGACAAAAGTGGTTTGCCATTGCCTTCTTCCAAGATGCTTTCTACTCTTTTTTTTTTTTTTTTTTTTAAATCTTAGTCTGCCCTATAGACTTGGTATTTATTGGTGATCTTCCATCCAAATATTAAGTCCTATTCTGCTTGGCTTTGAGAGATCAGCCAAGGTTGACTAGATGCTCCACCCAGTTGGATCATCCCAACATACATGTATATTACACTATGTATGAAAAGTCAGAAGATGGTAGATCTTGTTGCCATAGCCTGCATTCCGCTCCTGCACTGCTGTTGGTGAGCAGTAACATTTGAACTGGGTTATCTACTCCAGACTAATGGCGGGGGGGGGGGGGAACAAAAAATCCCAAAAAAAAAATCAAAAAAACCTTGAAAAAATAATAATAAAGAAAATTTAAATTTT